TTACAATTATTTACAACAATTCAGACAGGGGGCATGAGAGAAGAGACCATCCATTGATGGGACTTCATGACATGTGTTGGTGGAGGTTAGTCTAAAAGTAGATCACGACACCACGTTCGTTTTAGTCACCTTCTGGGGTCACCTGGAATAGTGGGGATAGATAGTTCTGAAATCAAGGGATTGCGGTGATTGTGAAGATTCGTGTGCATGCGTTTGTAGAAGGACTTGGCMACGTCTTTAACAGTTTGGATGGAAAGATCTTTATGGAGAGTATCATTAGAGACATAAAATGGGGCATTAGTTATTTTTCGAAGGCATTTTGATTGAAAAGTTTGGATTTTATTAATATTGGAGGGTTTGGCAGCACCCCATAATTGGATGCCATATGTCCATATTGGTTTGAAAAGTAGTTTGTATAAGAGAAGTTTATTTTTAAGGTTTAGATGTTTTGATGTTAAGAGAAAGCGTAATTGACGAGTCCGAATATTTAGAGCAAGCCGTTTTGTGTGGATATGCGTTGCCCAGGTTAGCCGGCGGTCTAGATGAAGACCTAGGTAGCGAACGTTTTGAGCAGATGGAAGTGGAAGGTACACAGGAGGGCAAACAGCTTGCCAAAGCGTGAACGTACAATGGACGGATTTGGTTTCATTGACTTTTATCCCCCAATCTTTATACCATATTGATAGGRGATTTAGGTGGTTTTGGATGAAGTTTGAGGCAGTTTCAGGGTTTGTGTGGAGAGCCAAGAGTGCCTTAAAGTCGGCAAAGTCCCCAGTTGTAGTAGGTATAGTCAGTAGTAGGTTGATCAGATGTGAATAGATTGAAYAGTAATGGAGCTGCAACTGCTCCTTGGGGAACACCAGCATAGATCGGGAATATTTTGGATATAGCAGATCCTGAACGGACAGAGAAGTGTCTGCCTTTAAGATGAATATTTAAATTAAATTAAAAACTTATAATTTTTTTAAGAAACAAATCCACTTAACCATCGCCATCGCCAGTAATGTTAAGGTATGCTTTTGACTGCCAACTCTGGGCTTCTAATTTCTAGTCTTCAAATCCTTGCAACACATACAATTGCTCCWAACAGTCCTAACCAACCGTATCAACCGTAACTCTTACAGGCTACAATAGAAAAATAGGCTAATGATATAGAAATCAAAGCCGTTAAGTCTTTAATGTGATTAAAAAAGAATTATTTCGATAGACTCGTTCAACGCACTAGTATTAACTATTTATAAAACTGGAACCTATGWTTTATTTATTTTTTTAGAACAATAATTATAACTGTCAATAAATAGTTTTAAATTCGGTCAAAAGAAAATTTTGTCGTTCTTAGTAATAAAATATCCAATTTTTATAGCTAAAAATTAAAAACATAGTTTTTCATATGAGGAGTTTATTGTAGCCAAAAAAACTATAAAGTATATTACCACATTCTTTTTAAAGACATTTTRAGCTCAAATTTGAACGAAATTAGATATTTTCAAATGAAGAATGATAATGTTAGTTATTTTATTGAAATTTAAAAATATTTCACAGTCTTAAAACTTTAACATACCTACATATATCATCCATTTTAAGTTCCWAGGTAGGTACTACAAATAACGTTATCTATGTGTAACCTATAAGCCATGGCTGAATGGCTCTACCAATTGATATGATCTAAAATTTAATTAATCTATTATCAAACGTATAGGTAAGAACTTTATCTATTATTATTTATTGTACATAGGCATTTTCAATATCGACATGGAATCTGGATACTTTTTAAATTTTAGTATATAATAAAATGAGCATTTTAAAATCACAGTATTTAATTTACTCACTAGCTACACCCGTGCACTTCGTGGTCCGTTAAAAAGCCTATAATCTCTTAAATGTCTCAAACTGCATGTGTGTTAAATTTATTACCTGTGATCATGCTAGCAGTATTTTTCTACATATATAGATAGATAATGGTACAAATATACTTAGTAATAATCTTACACTGATAATCAATTTAATTTATTATTATGTAATTTTATTCGTTTTATCGATAAAAGTCTGACAATTCAAGTATTCAATCGAATGGTATTTATTGAAATGCATTTGGATACACAATATTTTTTGTTCTTCCTTCTGGTGCGTACACAAATAAATTAGAAGGTTTTCCGACACGTGAGCATGCCAAATACAGCTTTCCGTGTGAGAAGCACGGATTTCCCAAATTCAGTCCACACACTTGTAGCGATTATCCTTGTGCTTTATTGATGGTCATTGCAAAGGCGAGTCGCACCGAAAACTGCAAACGTTAGAATTCAAAAGGCATATCTGTTGGAATCATTGGGATGCGTGCCAACAGTAAATCTTCACCTTTAAATTTTTCGTTTAAAATAGTAGCTTCGATAATGTTGTTCAWCAACTTTTTCACTGAAAGCCTGGTACCGTTGCAGAGTCATGGTGGCTTGATGTTTCGTAGAAGAATGATGGCCACGCCAAATTTTAATGTGCGGTGGCATGTCTAGCAAATCAAGTGAATTTAATAAATCAGATGGATAATTGACAATTTCATCTTGATTCATTACCGGTATCGATGGACTGGTACGCTATCGTGTCATCTGGAGTTTCGTTTAGAATGGTGTTATTGATTGTAGGTATGTATTTACATAAATATAGCCCGTGCAATGAGCCACTGACGATTTTCGTAATTTTGTGTTAGATTTGTCGATTAACTCATTGGTTGTTGCTGTTATTTTACAGAAATTTGTTGGGAATGTGGTGTATTGTGTTGATTCATGCGGTGCTATACGGTTGAGAACGTTTTATCTTTTTAGCAACACGATTGAGAACCATTGTCGGCCTCGGCAGATCAAAGAAACAATATTTTGCACCTTAAAATCAAACGATTGAGAATGATTTTTCGAGCAACGTTGTCATTTATCTTAACTTTTAGGGCTAGGATTTTGATGCAAGGGCATCTTTGTTTTTGGTATTTTGAAATTTTGCTGATTAAAACTGATTTTTTTTTTACATTTCCTGACAAAATTCACCTTAAATTTTGTTTATAAAATGAACGAAAATTCTTGCTATTAACAAAAGACTTTTGGTAGGGTTGCTTTTGATTTTGGTTTGAATTAATTTTTTTAAATTTTGATCTTAAACTGACAAATAAAAATGAAAATATTATAATATTTATATTATTAATATTATATTATTATATTATTTATTTTATATTTATATTATAATATTTATATTTATAATATTTTAATCTTAAAAAAATGCCTCAAGCTAACAAATAAGTGATACGTGTATTGATTTTACAATGGTGTGTGTGTTTATTTTTATTTATCAAATGTATTTCCACGTAAGTTTTTTCTGTAACCAAAAACTCAAAGAAATATAGTTGTTTATATCAATTATATATATATATATAGGTATATATATTGTTTATTTTATTTCAATATTGTATTTTTAATTAATGTGGCAACGTTGCATAAAAGTTAGCAAGTAAAAACGTTCTCAATTGTGTTATTAAAAAAGGTACGACCGATAACGACGAGAAGATCTCAATCGTGTTATTCCCGATTCATGGATAGTTTCCCATTCCCCATTTCCAACAATTGTTTTTCGAAACCATCGGCTGATATATCATTTTTTAGATGTAACACCCATATATTTCATGTATAAGTTTCTAATCTTGCATCTCGTTGCTCAGTTGTTTTAGATAAACGAAATCAGACTTGACGTTTTCTG